TACATACCAAACCGTTGCGGTGCAGCGTAAAAACGGGCTGGCCCACGAGTTACTAAAATACAGCATAGCTTTGCCTCAGCAGGGCTCGGCTATGAAGATGATCTGAAATCCTGTTGACCGGGAGTCAGGCTGGAAAAAATTGTTACGGTGGAAAATTAGAGGAGCAAACGATAACAGAGCGGGATTGTAGGGCTAAGAACATGTGACATGAAACCGTATGTCTTATTGTAGAATCATGTAAAAAGGAATTATGTAGGGAAGAATCTGTCTAGAAGTTTGAATTCATGCTCGTGGCTTCGCACACAGTTAAAACCTGTGCAGGCTTTCGTAACTTAGGACTTTATTATTCAAAAATACGGACACACACAGACGTGATTTCGTCAGAGTCCTTTTTAATTGATGCATGCAAAAGAGAAATTCAACGTGCGCTTCGCTAGAAGAAGAGAAGAGCCTGCTTCATCAAATTTCATGCATCAAAAAGTAAAAATCCCCTCTTTATTCATTGCCCATGAGAGACGAAAGTATTTGAGTAACAGAACACATCAGTTGCTTTCACTGCTTGCAAAACTGTCGATTACTTGCTCTTTTTCCAAGAAGTGCTCAGAAGCAAAATCATAGCGATCTGTTTCCTTGGCATGTGTCAGTACCAGCTTACCATCGAAACGAATGAACGAGCTGTGAAATGGAGTGACTGTTTTACCACCAGAATCGAATCCTCAACTTTCAGCATGACAGCAAGGTTACTTATCGTTGGCCATACCACATAGCTGATACGAGCTCTAAAACACCCATATTTACAGGTATGCGATATTTATTGGAAATTACATCCGAGGCGAAGACGAACCGAGTCGATGGTTGCGTCGGTCGTTGGTCCGTTATCTGTGCCTAACTCAAGTGCTTGTCTTCCGTGACATCAGCGTTCCGGTTCGCAGACGTTTCCCCACTCTTGAGAGCCTCATCGATGCAGGTGTTTTTGAAAGGCAACTTTTCAATGCAGCTTCGTGGTGTGTATCACATGAGCATTTATGTTATGTCAAGACTGGACTGGAACTCCAGATGTCGAACGAAGAAAATTTATTGTAGGGATTCTTTTGGAAGAGGAAAAAGAGAAGCTGGATGCGATCAAGCTGCGGTACAACAAGTACTGGGCACCAATACGCTGGATCCAAGCAATTGCTTTGCAAGCACGAAAAGAAGAGAAGATTTATGCGGATTTGATGTATAGCAAGCTGTGCGATGTAAGAGCATTTCACGGTC